GGCACTATCATTATCATTACAACGGTCCTATATAAGGTAGGCGCTATCATTAGCATTACAACAGTCCTATATAAGGAAGGCACTATCATTGTCATTACAATAGTCCTATATAAGGTAGGTACTATCATTATTGCCTGTGGTCCCTGAGTGGTGAAAAAGGTTTGCTCTCATCTAACTGAAAAGTTAATGGTTCGAACCCACCCAGTGGCACCATGGAGGGAAGACCTGGCGACCTGCTTGCATACAGATTATAGCCAAGAAAATCCTGTGGAGCTCAGTTCTACTCTGTGACACGTGGGGTCGCCACGAGTCAGAATCGACTCTCGGCAACCAATTTTTTTGTTGTTATCATTATCCCCATACCCAGACATCATGGAACCTCTGAATTCATCACCCTTCCAATTCTGCGACTTTCAGACTTCATGTGCTACATAACGTGGCTCTTACTGCCTAAACCACTTTGGTTATTCTGTTACTTAAAACACTTTGGTTATTCTGATATTTGGAACAGAAAGCACTCTGCCAAACATATCTAACAGATTTCTAACATATACTCCCCTTCTACCCCTCACATACTTAAATTCCGTAAGAGCAAGAACTGTGTCTTTTGAGTTCACCAGCATTTGGCACAGTGCCTGGCACTTAGGAGTTGTTCAACAAATATTTGTTGAATGCTGAATGAATAAAGAGCTTTGAAATCTAAACAAAACAAAACAAAAATGCTATTTCACACTACTCTCCAAGCCCATGTGTAAATAAACTTTAAGAAGTTCATTAATTAAAACTCTAATCATTAGGCTGCATTAATCTAATGTACCAGTAACTGTATAACCGAAAAAAAACTCAGGAATTTGAGAGTTTCATTGTTAACAACTTTTACATGTTAAAGAATTTTGGTGACAGAGAACGCAGTACATACTTAATTTATAATTTTTCACTAGTTTTCTCTATTTTATTTGACAGCATTCATTATAATCTGTTTTCAATGTGCCATAATTCAAACTACACCCAGACAAAAATAACAATTCACAGTTCATATTTTCCACTAATTCAGACTTGGTCTCTCCCCAATCAGGTATTTTACCACAGCATGACCTCATAGTGCCATACCACTTACTGCTTCTAATCATCTCTCTCCAATACTCTTTTTAAAGTTCCTCTCGGCACAAAACTCTAAAAGCTTAGTAACTTTGCTATGAAAACAAACATTTAAATATATTCATCTTAGACAGAAAAATAAATACTGCATCAAATTTAGTACTCCACTGAGTACTTCAAGGAGGATGGACAGACAGACTCACACACACACACGACATAAAACATGAAGAATCACATTTAAAACAGTGTATTTCTTACTAATTTGTGGTGATTTTGTGTATCCTGTACCATAGACATTACAGATTAAAGATTCTATTTAAAATAGACATTTTCTGGGAGTTGCTCCATGGGAATTCCAGAGGAAAGTTGTAATGTTTATATTCTTTGGACTCTGTATCCACAAGTAATTGAACTCAGCATGAAAACCAAAATAAGCCTTTTAAGCATTGTAAAAAATTTTTCCAACGTCATCCCAAGGCAAAATTGATTTCTGGTCATGTTTTTATTCCTTTCCAAGTATATATTGCAAAAAAATTCTCATCAGAATAGCTTTATATAAAATTATATGTTAAGTCACAACCTGGTATCTCCTGTTGATAGTTTTAAACCACTTAATTTCCTTATCAAATATTAAGAAGGAAAATTCTTCTGAGGTTTATTAAATGTCACCTTCTGGACCTTTGTAGAAATTTTAAGAGCCAAACTTTATCCAGCATAACTATGGGGCCAATGGTACTCTAATTTGATAAAAGAAGCAGTGATCTAAAACAACTTATATCATCAGCTTAATCGCCTAGAAGCACTGCTATTATTCTTGCACAAAAGCCTTCAATGTTTACCACTGAAAATGCACTCAGTCTCCTCAGCCTGCCATGCCAGTCATTCTCAATCCCACTCTACTTGACTCCTATGTGGTGTGTACTACATTAAGAACCACGGCCCAGCCCATCTGGACTTCCGGTGAAAACCACAGCCCAGCCCATCTGGACTTTCAGCTCTCCCAACTTGCCTCCTTCTCTCCGGGCTCCTGGTTATGCTGTTCCCTTTTAGCAGAATGACAAACTTCTGCACCTTTCCTTACATCACTCCAAGACCCACTTGGCCCCCTAAGAAATGGCCTTAACAAATGATTGCTGATTATCTCTATCATGTAATAAAAATTACATTGAAAAAATTCTGGGATGTGAAAACTCATGAGGTTTACCCCCAAAAAGAAACAATCCTTGATGGTTATGAGGGCGGGGAGGGGAGGGGATGGAAAAACACTAACTAGACAATAGATCAGTGGTAACTCTGGTGAAGGGTTAAGACAGTACCCGATACTGGGGAAGCCAGCACAACTTGTACAAGGAAAGGTCATGGAAGCTCCATAGACACATCCAAACTCCCT